CGCAGATTCAGTTCTATCCAACTCGAAATTGTACTGTTTTGTTTGGTTAACTATAGTGTAGCAGGGAAGGCACTATAGGGGTACAATTTAGGTGAAGGTTGGATGTTGTTTGTCTGTATCTGCATGCTACAAGGCCAGGGGAAACCAGCGGAACCAGCATTTGGCTGGTTGGGCAAAGACAAAAACAGGTTCTGTTTTTAGAACCTGAACCTGGTTGTTGTTTTCCCAGGTTGGAAAAACAGAACCAGAGGTTGTTTACCAACCTACCACCTGCTATTTTGTCCAGCCAGGTTGGTTCTGTTGCTTGGAATTATTTGGGATCATCCCTGGTTGTTCCCAGGTTGATTCCCAAGGTCCTTGCTAGCTAGAACTATTTAATCCTTCTCTGTTTGTACCTGAACATAGTCAAATTGATTCATGTGAATTCCTTCCTCGCTGGAATTTCGTTTCTACGCGGTTCGTTGGCGGAATGCTACCCGAGTCAACGCTAGTACGCTAGCACTCTAATGCTAGGCAAACACCGTCTGAGCCATAACTTCGTAATGGCAGAACTTTTCGCGAGGCAACTTGGCTCATTTTAAAGCTCTTGGAGCGAGCTTCGATATAGCAAATTCTCAGCTTAATCCGACCGACGGTCTGCACGGCACGCTGTGCGACGTTCAAGATACTCTTGCTGTTTTGACTAAGTCCTTCTTGATCCCTCTCTCTACAAACTCGGACCCGAGGATAGGGGCTGGTCTTGTACCAGGCACCCAGGGACCCTTGGAGGTGACCCCGAGGAGAGGTTTTAAGTTTGATTAAGTCCTAATAGCTTGAGTTTATTAGGCCCTTACACCAACATCCACATCATCTCCTCCACCAGCAGGTGCCTCTTGCACCTTCTCTCCATCACCACCCTCTGCAGCTGCCTCCTCTCCCTCCTCCCACACACTAGGAGTCAGGTCCAGCTGCATGGTGATCTGCTCCATCTGCTGGGACACCCTGGCCTCCGGCTGTTTCTCCCAGCTCCCATATATCATGCCCTCAATGAATTTCACATCCGTGCAGTCAAACATGACACCAGGCTTTGGATGGTTCCCACAGCAGCCATCCCTTGCTCTCAGCAGCCAGCCCTAAATGCACACACCAGATTCAACTCGCCCCCAACTTACTGCGGTAGGTCTTGGGGACGTGGGCGACTGCCATGCAACCGAACACCCTCAGCATGTCCACCGGCGGCTTCCTCCCAAGCCACCTCTCCAACGGCACCCAGAAGTCATCACCAACCTTAGTGAGCACCCTGTTCCTAGCCACGGTGGCGTGCCGGACAGCATGGGGCCACATGGAGTTGCCCAGCCCAGATTCTATAAGCAGCGCCCTAGCTGTCTCCAGAATTGTCAGATTCGCTCGTTCTGCTACACCGTTGGACTGTGGAGTGTAAGCCGTGGTCAGCTCCCTCTGGATGCCCTGCTTCTTGAGCCAAGCCGTCATCTCAGCTTCAAGAAACTCACAATCCCGGTCTGTCCTAATCCGCTTCACTAAACACTTCGTCTGCTTCTCCAAGAATGACAGTGAATCGTCCCGTATCGTGGAGGCGGCGTGGTCCTTCAACTTTAGCAACGGATACGCCCACATCAGCCTGCTCCAGTCATCCACTATGGTTAGGAAATACCGCTCCCCCTTGTGCCCTTGCATCGGCAGCGGCCCCACCAAGTCCATATGGACCAGCTCCAAAGGCTTCTTGCTCCTGCCAGCCATACTATGGAAAGGGAAACGGGTAAACTTTGAAAGCAAACAGATTTCACAGTTCTCATCGGGTGGCTGTCCGTTCAGCTTCAAACCCTTGACGGCTCCATCCTTCCCCAGCTGCTTCATCAAGGGCATTGTCACATGCCCCAAGTGTTGGTGTGTCCTTGCCCAATCTGTCTCCCCAGATCTGGCTGACACTTTCACACCAACCCCTCCAATGGCATTGCACTCCCCCTATGATGCAAACCCCTCTCTATCCTGCACCCCACCGTGCCACGCCAACGCCGGCAGCTGCCACATGGATCTGTACTCATCCTTCCTCTCGTGCGGATCTCAAAGTTTCCGTTTGCCCAGCTGGCCTTATACGTGCGAGCCCCATCCGTGCTAGTGCTCACCCCAGCCTTAGCATGTTTACGGAGGGAGATGAGGTTGGCCTTGAGATCGGGGACGATGAGAGCGTCATTCATGCAGCACCACCGGCTTGCCATCCGCTCCCTTAAACGCAACTCGTCCCGCACTGGCCACCTTCAGCGTGTATTCAGAGGTGGAGCACACCTCAATTTTCAGTGCAGCGCGTACGTTGTCTAGCAGGTCTTTGCGCGGCTTCATAGTCCAAGCAGCGCCCGTCTCCAACGACCAAAACTCAAATGGGTGCTGCTCCGCTCCAGCCTTGGCAGATGCGTCTCCTTGCTCTCTCTCGTCTCCCACATGAAAGAACTGGCCCGTGGCATGCTCCTTCTTTTCAACACCGACATTGCCCTTCGGGTTGTTGTCGGACAAATAATCGACCATGCTCGCGCCGTTTTCTGGTTCCATCACGCGCCGCCATCCTGGTGATGATTGTGGGGTCCATCCATCTGGCTTCTTATAGCACAAAAACCAGGGATGCCCTTCCTTCTCACAGTACCAGCAACTCCCTTTCATTTTGCCACCAGCACCCGACTTGCCCCCACGTCCAGATTTCGCACCGCGACCCCAACCGGTACCTCCTTGTTGGTTGTTGGAGTCGTCGTCCTTCTTTGCACCGCGCCCAGCACCACCAAAGCCACGTCCTCTGCCACGTCGGCTCCCTTGCATCCCATAGCCGCTATTGCCGTCGTCTCCACCCCTCAGTTGGCGGCGACGGAAGTCCTCCTCCAGAATCTTCGTCTGCACCCACTCGAGCGTCCACAAGCTCTGTTTCTGCGGCAGGCTCAATCTGCTTGTGAATCAAAGCCACAATTCCGGCAGCAGCGGCAGCATCTTCAAGCACTTGGCTTGCTACGGATCGGTGATTCCCGCAGTCGCGTAGAGGTCGCGCATCTTGTCCATGTTTGGTTGCACCGACTCTCCATCGTGACGTCGCAGCGACGGAGGTAGGGGCGTGCAGCTCCTTCAACACGGTCCACGCCTTCGGAAGTGGTGACATTGGTTCAAGTCCAAACTCTGCGACATCAAGTAGTAGCCAGCCGAGGAGCGCTCGTCCCAATCTTCCTGCAGCGAGGGTTCACTCGGTCTAGGCTACCCCCCAATCATTAGTTTCAGCAAACTGATCTGACGGAAATAGAGTTGCATTTTTCAGGCCCAATCATCATAGCCCTCACCATTGAACTTCTCGACGGTGAAGTTCTTCAGCACCTCCTTGATCAGCGAGCCCTGGTTTGTTCGCGCTCCCCTTGGTGCCGAAACACCAGAATCTTGGCTACCGCTACGATCTTGGGCTGAAGATTCACCAGCTCCCGCCGAGATATTGCCCGCCATAGCTACCATAAGCGAGGATTACTATAACGCAGCTCTGATACCAGCTTGTTGGTGAAAGGGCCTAATAAACTCAATCTATTTACACTTAATCAAACTTAATACCTCTCCTCGGGGTCACCTCCAAGGGTCCTTGGGTGCCTGGTACAAGACCAGCCCATATCCTCGGGTTCGAGATTGTAGAGAGAGGAGTGAAGAATGACTTCTGTTTTTCCAACCTGGGAAAACAACAACCAGGTTCAGGTTCTAAAAAAAAAAAAACTTGTTTTTTCTTTGCCCAACCAGCCAAATGCTGGTTCCGCTGGTTTTCCCTGGCCCTGTAGCATGCAGATACAGACAAACAACATCGAACCTTCACCTGAATTGTACACCTATAGTGCTTGCTACACTATAGTCAACCAAACAAAACAGTACAATTTTGAGTTGGATAGAACTGAATCTGCGCAATCAATTCAACCGAACTGCAAAGCTTCCATCTTGGGTTCCTTTCCGAGCTTGTCGCTTGTCCTTGCACTGTTCATAGCGCATACAATGTTGTGCCAAAGCGCACATTGTGCGAGTACCTGCAAATGCTTCAAGCAAAAATTGCGAAAGCAAACAAACACACGAATACACATTCACACGCAAATACATTTGCACATGCATACTCGGAAAAACAGACGGCAGGATGTCATGCAATGTGAGTTTTCACCCAACAAATAAGGTCAAGGCAAGCATGTAATGCCAAATAAGCCATCGTACTCTCACAATCTGTTAGCTCCACACCATATCCTAGCCTATCCTAGCCTAGCCTAGCCTATCCTTGTGGTCCTAGCCTATCCTTGTATCTTTCAGCACCACCATAACTGTTGCTCTTTTGATTCATTTCCTGTGTGAGGTTCTCTTGCCATCGCTTTCGAGGCCGTTGACATTGATCTCGCCAATGGTAAGGATATGATTGTTGCTACCAATCGGTTTACTGTGAAGGAGCCCCTCCAAATCCACACGCTTGATACAAAACAACATCTTCTACACACAGTTGTTTGTCCTTGTTAGGGAACTGCACGCCATCCACCTACCGACAACCATGGGTTACCACCGCACCCATGGAACCAGCTGATTTTGGTCTGACTCCATCTTATCCCCTCTACAGGCCAAACACCTTGCCAACCGCGATGACTTCTTCTTCCATTTGCTCACATGGCTGGCAGCCCCCCTTTCAGGAGCGCAGTGCATGCTGAACCAATTTTACGTGGGTCTTCGCCTGAGTGAAGCTGATGCCATGAGCCTCGTAGACGCAGATCCAGTCCTCTCAGCTTCCTCCAGAGGATATCAGCACCAGCGCCAGGTCTCGCAGAATCTACTTCACCCGTGCGTTGGTCATGTGGGCAGCTGCTCATGCAAGATGCGACAAAACTTTCAGCAAACCGGATCAGGACCCCGACAGCCTGAAACACGAGGTTAGTGCACAACGGTTTACCTTTTATCGCGTGCATGCACTATAGCATTAAGTTCCATTTGTCGATGTTCTCCTAACGCTCGGTGTGATAGTCAACATGGTATTAGGTAATATTCATGCCGTTGCAAAATCCACATAAAAGCAATGGATAATGCACGAAAAGTTGCTCGTGGTATACCGAGTTAATCAGCAGATGCCACCAGCGATAATTATGCCCTGTGTGCCCCTTAACTAAGCCCCCGATATTATCAGTATCCGCCCCCGTCACAGGGTCCACCACCTGGTGGAAAGCCGCGCCGCTGAGAAACATGGACGCCCTTCAACAGGTACTCGTACACCATTTCCGGCGTGATCACGGCTGGGACGCCCTTCAGCAGCACCTCGATAGCGTTCGGGTTCGTCGCGCGTTTATACATGTATGTCGGGTTCTCCGGGTGTTGCTAGTCCATGAACAAGCTCTTGTCCTTTAGCGTCTTATGCACGATCCTCTGGCTCCACACGTAGTTGGCATCCGACGCTTGCTGGAAAGTAACCTGCAGTCTCCCATATCCGTTCTTCAACTGGTATGCCAGCAGTAAGTGTTGGGATTAACGATGGAGCCTACGAAGACTAGGAGCCGGAATAACTCAAAATAGTTGGACTCAAATTCTGGACAGATTTGTCGACTTCACAAGAAACGTCGTCGACAAAAAACACACTGTTAAAACTTCACCAATTTCAGATATGTTGTAGCTCTAGACTCTGGCTATAATTCCCATTTTGAATCACATCGAAAGGTGAAGTATAACTCGAGATATGAATTTCAGTGCACGTGGAAGAGGAGGAGGAGGAGGAGGAGGAGGAGGAGGAGGTGGAGGAGGAAAGGGAGGAGGAAAAACAGCAGGAGGAGCAAGAGGAGGAAGGGGTGGAGGGGAGCGAGGCTGTGACGGCGCACGAGGCTCACCTGCGCCTCATGCTCTGCCTTCAGTTCGCTTGTGATGATTCTAAGGATTCTGGTGGTTGTGGTGGTGGTGGCAGTGGTGGTGAGGGGGCTGAGGCAGCCTGTGGTGAGGAGAGGGTTCTGGATGATCCTGCCCGCCTAATGCAGCAGTGGATCAATCCCCCCATTCAAGCGTGGGTGAGTGAGCGTGGAAGAGCAGAATAGTGGTCTTGTCTTTATCGTGTCTGCTGCGAGGAGCAGCAACCATTCAGTACCTTATAAAGTGTTTTTATCTCCATGGATGTCTTTTGAGACATCTCAAAACTTGTACTTCATGGATGGAGTATCTTATCTGCAGACACGGCTGCGCTGGTGACAGCAACAGAGTGCAAAGCCTCATGTCACGTCCTCTTGCTTCCCCGTTCCCTAATCCTCCCTCCATATAATTTCTTTCTCCTCATCAGCCCTCCCGCTTCCACCCAGTCCACCTTGCTTCTGGCCGCCTTGATGGAAGCAGACTCGTTGCGACCTCGAGATGCACCTTTTCCATTTGCCCCTTCTCCCCCTCCTCGTTCCACAATATCCTCCCCATTCTCTTGCTGCAAGCTGCACTGGTGGCAGCAAACACCGTGCGTTGCCCTAAAATGTAATATTCCCCTCGCTGATTCCAGCACCCACTTTCCCATCACCCCCCATCCCCTTACTCACCGCCCCCCCCTCCCCCCTTACCCACCCCCCACCCGTCCCCCCCCCATCTCACTCTATCCACCAGGGTGCACTGGTGGTAGCAGATACAGTGCGATGTCTCAAGATGCACCTCTCTCTTTACCCCGCCCAAGTCCCCAATTCTGGCCCTCTTCCCCCCCCCCTCCCATCCTTCCCCTCACCCTCTGCTCACCTACAGGCTCCACTGGTAGTAGCATGTTGTGTGATGCTATCATTCGCATTCATGTCTGTCTGCCTCCCATCATATGTTCGTGCATTGCATGCGTGGTGTGAGCGTGTGCAAGAATTTGTGTTCGGTGTGGTTTGGAATTTGTAAGTGTGTGTGAATCTTATTTTACTTGCGCAGATGTCTGGAATGACTTCTCTGCTCGAGAGCTTTCCGACGAACCAAGAATCGTCGCGATCGGAGCACAAACGAGAAAGTTACGATCAGTTGAAGTTCGTATGCTTTTGATATTTCGATGCGGCGACTATGGGAATTTGTGGAGTGACTCAATATGGGGTATAGACTTTTGGGGGTTGGGGAAATTCGTCACTCTACTGTAGATTGCTGCCAAATGGTTGGGAGAAGCCAAACCAGGTTGGCAAGTGTGGCCAAGTTGGGTGAGGTGGATGGCATGGGTTAGGAAAGTGACAAAAGTAAAAGTGGGGTTGTAATGGAAAGATGATTGATGTGCTTATGGGGTTTCCTTGGTTGGGGACTCCCTTGGGACCTTCCCTCTTGTCCTCCTCTTCCCTTCTACCTGGTTTATTGCTACCCCAGCTTCCTTGTGTGGTACTTGTGAACTAATTGTGATTGAGTTAATATTCAGCTCAAGCATACCCCCTAGTGCGCCGAAATTTGTAACTCGAGTTATACTCCATCTTTGACCTGACAGCAAACTGCGAAGAGCCTCCTTGACCTTTGCCTCCATCCAAGGCTTATCAAGCTCCATCCGATCCTCATCCAGCAGCCGACTGTCCTCGCCAATGATCCATCCTTCTGCTGAGCCCATGTGCTGGAGGTTTAAGTACGTTTCTCCTTTAGATTGATGACCATTGTGCTTCACCTCCTGGATCTCCGTTTTGGCCTTTCTCAATTTTGTGTTGTTTGACAGAAAGCCATTCAGTTGCCCATCGGCCAGCTGCTCCGTCATTCCCGCCATCGACTTTGCTTTCTCTTGGTACGCCTTTTGCGCTGCTTCATGCTTCACCAATTCCTCGTAGAGCCTAGGTGCTGTTGGATTAGCCATCAAGACGCCTCTCAGATTCTCCTTTTTTTTATTCACGTCCCTTTCACCTCTTTTTTCTTCCGTCATGTATGCTTTCAGGCTTGCCCTTTGGTCCACTAGCAAACGCTGCAGATACTGGTCTGGTTGCAACGTCCGCTTCTCTAAGACCACCTTGATAACGATTGTGGTCCCTACACCGCTTGCTTGTGATGCTTGCAGCCTCAAGAAACTTCCTCCCTGATGTTGGCGTCGACCACTGGCAACAGCCATCTGCACCTCCCGCAAACTCGACAGTGATGTCGGCTTTGCCCAGGCGAGGGCAGGGCCATTTCACATCATCCGACACTCCCCTGCCCAGCTCACGCTTGGGCACCCACACATGAGGCCCGCCCATCGGGGACTAGAGCAAGGCCTATTTTATCAGTGTAAATCTCCTTGAAACCCTGATTATAAAGGGTGATTTTTGGGGCACTAATGTCTCTTGGGAAAAAAAAGGAGAATCGAATTTTCTTGGCTCGTATAAGCAACGGTTTAGGCCAGGTTGATAGTATAGTGAAATTTTTCCTTAAGCGACTGTAACCCTGAACAGCATACACCCCCCACCCCCCCCCTTCGGCCTCTTCTTCCGAATGTCGAGATATCGAGACAGAATTTCCCAGAAGTTTCATCTTGATAATATATCTTCATTATGATGCTCTACGGTGCTAGCACCACTTAAATCGAGTGTGCAGTCCAAGTAACAGTAATATATTCTATTGCAAATACTATCACAACAAATATGGTCTTACTCTATTGTTGTTTGTGAACTAGACTTAGAAAAAAAAATGTAGCGGATCTGGCGCGAAAAACAGAATACCAACGCAACGACGTCCATATGTTAGTAAATTTTTAGAAATGAGGTTTTTTTTTTTTTTTTTGGCGAATTCTCGAAGTAGCAGAAGTTGAAAGTTTTTTTGGTCATTAACAGTACAAAACAAAATCGAACAAAAACCCCACACCCAAAAAAACCAGGTCGACACCAACCAAACTTTCGCTCTCTCTGCTTGCACCAAAATCAATTTCCTCGTCCCAATGTACACTACCAGCCCAAAGCACCCCCCACCTCCATGTTTACAGTACTTGCAGCCCACCGGCATCACCGTTTCTCTCGCCCCTAAAAAACAGGAATTGTGTCGTGGTTTGCTGCCACCACATAGTGAACAACCAGGGTAAAAAGAATCTTACAACGTTGACTCTAGGTAAAATTTCCAAAAACAAAGGTTATAGTGATGGTTAAGAGTATCCTCAAAACTTAGGCTAATATCAAGGTTTCTGAAAAGGCTAAAGTATTAATCAAAGAAGTCAAAATCCAAATATAGGCCCTGTTCGGAATCTGTTGTAGTGCGATCTTCTTGCGCTTCACCATACGTATTACTTAGCCATGTAGCTGGTGCTAAGAGTAAGTGTGCTACTTATCATTTTGGCTGGTACTAAGAGTTAATGCGATACTTACCCTTATAGTCGGTATCAAGATTAAACGAGTCACATAAGGGTGGGTCCAACTTTGTACATTGACTGTTTTTTTTTTGTAAAGTTTACGTCAATGCACTCGTCAAATTTGCCTGTACCCCTAGGCGTAGTGTGAGCGTTTCTTGACCAGTTATCGAGTGTACAATTCGGACTTCTGACAAGGTACAGTGTCGAGGCAAGGTACAGTAGCAGGGAAGGGTTACCAAAATATTGCAAGATATTTTTCCAAGGTTTATAGCACTGGTAGCAGGGGACGAATCTAATGACAAAACAATTTGACGACAGCCCATCATTACTGTTAAACTTGTCTGATGCGAAACGAGTTGGGAGACGAATTAATGATGAACATTCGGATGTCTTCCGCACGTCTCAAATAACGATTCCGATTTGTCATCATTTGTCTACAGTCTTGCGTCAGATTAATATCTATACATTAGAGGTTCTGTTACATGCTAAAATAGGGTAACTGAGATGAAAATAAAGCGTACATGTACAAAGCTGGACCCGCCCTAACCTTATTAAGAGTTATATAACCATGTGGTTGGCACTAAGAGTAAATGCAACTTACCCATATGGTTGAGTTTAAGAGTGAGCGCGTTACGTCCAATCTGGTTATTGCTAAGAGTAAGCGAGTTAATTATCCATGTATTTGGTACTAAGAATAAACAACATGTGGTTGGTATTGAAAATAAGAGCTTTGTTTACCTATGTAGCTAGCAGAAACAGTAAATGCGATACTAATCCTTATGGTTGGTAGTAAGAATAAGAGCGTTATTTAACCATATGGTTGGCACTAAGAGTCAGTGCATTACTTACCCTGATTGTTGGTACTAACCGAAATGAGTTACTTACCGTATAGTTGATACTACAAGTAAGTGCTTATTTCACTTTATTTTGAAAACTTTCTGTAGACGCTTTACATGATCCTTGGTATTTTTTAAGTAGATTAGACCATCGTCCAGGAATACAGACACGCACTCGTTCAGTAAAGGTTCCTAGAATATGGTTCATCGTCGCCTAGAATATTGCTGGTATGTTGCAGAATTCGAACGGCATCACCAAGATCCATATCTGGTACAGATACACCGCTTGTGGATCGAGTTGCCTGCCAGCTTGATTTGCCATTAACTGTACCGCAAGTCTATTTTTTTGGAACATTGTTGCACCAGGTAGTTGGTCCATAAGCTCGTCTATGCGTGGTCTGAGAAATTTATTTTTTCCTGACTATTTGTTGAGAGCCCGTTGGTCGATGCACATCCGTAAACTACCGTCCAGCTTGGGATTGAAGAGACCTGGTGCGCTATAGGTAAAGGTGTTGTGGAACGTCAAATAAGTCCACAATCCAGCTGGTTTGAGGCGGTACGGTACACTGAAGCTTGGTTTCAAACCTGGCTCTTCCACGATCTCGTGCTAGTAAGTTTACTCTGGTCTTGCAGGTAGTTCATCCAACATTATATCCTAGTATGCTTGTCTTCTTCTGTTGCCATCTGTAGTGACATGTCTCTTTTGTTGCTCTCGTTTACCGTTTTCTCGAATCAGGCAAGTGTCTCATTGTACCTGTCCAGGTTCGTAGTTCTACACGTCTCCCATTGTTATAAATATACGCCTTCGAGTTGACCAAATCGATATCGAGGTTGAACTACTTTAAAAAATCTCTCCCCAAGATAAAATCTAAGCCTCTTGATGTTTGTGACTGGAAGCGTATGTCTCCACGTAGCGCGCTGATCTGCAACTGAAAATTGACTCACCGTGGATGTGTAGCCTACTGCCATCTGTTGT